TTTGACTCCTAACTTCAAAATTTGAGATAGCTTTGGGAAGATGAGGGTGTAGAAATAAGATAATAATATCAAACATTGCCGTTACCCGGTAAATAACTAATATTGTATATAATATATATATATATATTATCTGACACACATGTTTTCTACATCCTTATTGGTTGGAATGGATAATCACGTGGGGGTCGGTGATTTGTGATATTTTGGTACGGTCTAATATTCACTTTGACGTCATACAATATTGTAACGTCGCACTGCTCTCAGCCAAATGCAGTGCATTCCCACTGACAATTTCCATACGTTCCATCTTGTTTAACAATAATCAGTGGCGAACCCAGGGGTGTTGCCCTAGTTGCCCAGGCAACACCCTCTTTTTCTGTGTCCAAAAATAATCTGGACCAAGTTTTTTGAAAATGTTCCTCTATTCCATATATATATGAGATTTCCCTCTAATATATATATATATATCAACCATCCCTAGAACTATGATTTACCATGGCTTCACCTTGCCATCAATTTGAATAAACAAGGAGTCCACCACTTAAACTCTAAACAATTATCCTCCATTGTCTATATATTATAGTATATCATATATATTAATAGGGTCTCCATCCGTCAGGTCAGTGGTCAAGGCTCACCAGACTGGCTCTACATAATCTTATTGTTCTAATGTCACGGTATGGTGACACTCTGTCAGTTGGGAGAGGACTATACATGTAGGTAAAGTGTTATTTGATTTTCGAAGGTATTTCATGATAGATATACCTGTATTTTCACCTGTGGTTTCAAGTACACATGGTCACCAGGAGTGATTTATTATGCCAATTAACATTTTACCCAAAAATCCACATTTTTCCCATTTTTGTTTTTACAGACAAAATATAAATACTCTTCGTTATAAAATAAAACTTGGAAACTCAGAAAACTATTCTGCGCCTCACTCTATCTATTTGTCAATGGAAATAATGTCTGATAAATTCTTGCTATTCTACGCTCGGTAGTGCTTCTTGAAACAGTTTAATATGTCATCTTAAAAACAAAAATCTTCGCCTCGCTCCGCTCGGCAGTGAAAGAAGAGAATCTAGATTTGTGTTGGCAGAAATAGGTATACATGCAGAGCCACCGTTACAATTATAATAAACTAGTACCAGATAAGTACAAAAATCGGGTTTTGCCGAGTTTAAAATTTTGGGCAATTAATTTCTGGGTCCCCCCTGATCATCATATAACAATTGAGGACTTGTATGTCGGTGAATTCGTTGTTATATGGACATGAGAAAGTGATGTTAACCAAAACGAACCTAAAAAGTGTGATATTAACCTCGAATTCGTCTCGGTTAATACCACTTTATCAGGTTCCTATAACCTCATATTCACCTCAACAAAAGTCCATAATTGGTAAATATTAACAAATCATCCTGATCTGAGCAACCGCTGCTTCTTTTTTTCAAGACAAATACAGTAAATGAGTAGGTATTGGCACATATGTTAAAACACGACCTAATAACACAGTTTGCTCTTTAAAGTTGATAACCTAATGAATCTTGCTAAGTGATTAATAATTAAAAAGAGGTTAAAGAAAAAAGAAAAGAAAATTGTGATAAGTATACCACCTCCTGTAGTAGTCCGAGTTTCCTCTGGCCCTAACACCAGACTTGGACATTTTGGCATATAGATTTCAAACAAAATATGTCAAAATGTCTAAGTCCGGTGTTAGGGCCAAAGGAAACTCGGCCACTCCTGTACGTGAGGTGTAAAGATCGCTTTTGTTTTTTTTACAGACACTCCAGCTGATGGAATGCCACATCTAAACTTGTACACGCTGGCAGTCACGATGATAAGTACATGTAACACATGACTAATTTTACCTGTAACAAGAAAGAGGATGGTCTGTTACCGTGAGAAAGTCCAAACTAACAATGACCTGCGTGTGTGTAAACTGTAGTACGCGTTTCGTTGCTGTATCTAGGAATACCCCGCCCCCATCAAAACGTTTGGTCAGCTTAGCGGCAAGAATATAAAAAAATGATTAATTGAGTTTTTAGTGAATATGAAAACCCGCAAAAAACAAGTCCGCTTTGTGATTTGATATGATTAACTCTTGACAATATCTGCCATGTTTGCTGTCTGCAACTGCATGGAATTCCGAAATATGTTTAAATTAATAAGCTCACCTAGCTTGACAGCAACCGAGATAAAATACTGACGTATCTGTACCAGGTCCAGGTGTATCGTCAAGCTAACGATACATTCAACTATATACAGCTTAAAAGTAGGTAGTCTAAATGACTGAGATTTTCATTACTTTTCAAACTTTAATGGATGTTCTTTTTATTCAAAAGATTTATCATTGGAAAATGAAATAAATAGAAATAAAATAAAACCCCAAATAACACCAAATTTCAATAACTGTCACCAATCTGACAAAGCTTGGTACCCCAATCAGCTTGGTCCCGTAATAGGCGCAGATCAGAAAATTGGAGTTAGGCGATCGCGAGGGGGGCTAGAGGGAGTAGGAGGAGGGGATTGGGTGGAAGTAGCTATATAGGGCGATGGCTCAGATGGGGTTTAGGGTCAAAGATCTTGCTTGTGCACGCCTTTCATGCTGTAGACATATATATATATGAGAGTAAGTCCCAAAAAATGAGCCTTGACTGTTTGGTTTTTAAGGATATAGGTCTATTGACATAGGTTTTGTCTCTCCAAAATTCAGGACAAATTCTATTTGACTTCTGATATTGCTATATGTCAAGTAAAAGCCCTGTGGTGGTTCGGGTTTGGGTTTGGGAAAGGGCTTTGCCACCAGAGAAGCTGAGATATCGTTGCGATATATACGGAAGAGAAAACGCTGTTTACTTTGAATACAGGGAGGGGTGGCGTGGTCTGGTGGTGTACGGCATTTTCAGCTCACATGTCTTGACTTCATATGTTCTGGTTTTGTACGTGTTTGTTTTGTTTTGATTTTGTTTATGCTTTTCTGTGAATTTATTTTTGGTTTATTTGTATATATTTTTTTATCATGAAGCAATGAAATAGATATATATATATCTTTATTAAAACCACGCCCCGGAATTATTAGATGCTTTCTAAGTACGTGTTAAAACTATGCTGATATAGACAAGTGTTGCATCTTGCACCATGCATGGCTTTGACCGATTGTGTAGATGTCCTTTCGGTCAATGATAACGCATAATGTGTACCGTTGATGACCAATCGAGTGTCATCACAGCGTTGAACTGACGTAACCCTGTTAGGGTAATAACCGGTCGTATAACGATTCATTATAGGATTACTGCACGGTAGTCTAGTGGTAGGACGCCGGGCTCGTGATCGAAGGGTTGCGGGTTCGAGTCACGGCACGGCAAGGCACGGCACTGTGTTGTATCTTTGAGCATAATACTTCACTCCGCTTGTTCCAGTCTACTCAGCTGTAAATTAGTACGTGGTTGGGCAGTGCTAGAGTTGTAGATACTAGCTGTGAGCGCCGAAATGGCAACGCCAGCTGTAAGCTCCCCATGGAGTTGAGAAAGATATTGGCTGGTCGCGAAGGTACTATAACCAAGGATAATAATTTGTGAGCTGCTTTGAGACGACCTACGAACTTGGTTGCGATAAAGCGGTATATAAGAACCTCGAATTATAATTATTATTATCTTGTTTACATCTGAAGAATTTATTCTAAAAACACGTGAATCGAGATTATGTTTTTTTGTGTGTATTTTTTTTTTTCTTTTCTTTAAAACCATCAAATGTATTATCTAAGACCACAGTAAAAAGTTTTTGAATGCAGCTGAGGACAGTTTTGATGTCTATAAATCAGGATCAGAGTACGCCTCTTTGATTCTACATGTATATTGAGCTTGCTATTTTAAACCTCTGGTTATCCATTTATTATATTAACAATCCGGGAAATCTACGCCAAGGTGAATCATGCTTGTTTGACCGGCTATAAGCCTAAAAAAAATCTGTATGTAACCCGTCACTATAGCATTACTCGAATGCTTGAAACAGATGAGAAACACTAAATGTATTAACGATTGCTGCAATGAATTGCTAATTGCTACACATTCTATTATCTTAATCAAATATAATCTCATAATGATTTTTTTTAATGAATATATATTATCTTATTATCATTAATGCCCCGGCACTGTGATCTGTTATATGTTCTGTCGTAAGAATATCTCTTCAGAGCTGTTTCATGTTTTATATACGACAAAAAAGAAAGTTTCTTGTATCCTGTATCTTGTGCTTATAGAGTTACATATTGTAACTAGTTGATTCCACGTCAGTTGAATTACAGTACATATAGTCTATAGGTATTGGCTAAATCTAAGCATGTTTGATTACATTTACAGTGAAATGTAATTCTTTATTTTAATTAGACATGTTCAGTATATATATCGTTCTTTTTCTCGAATTGAGGATAGATACAGGTCTGTATTCAACAGATTATCTGTCTGTAGCCTTTAATTTATTTTATGAATGGGCGATTTAATTTGTTCAACCGTTAACGTTGCTGGCAACCAGACACCGTGATTCGTATTTACTAATTAGATAAAAAAAAACCCAAAGAGTTTGGCATAATTTTAAAGAAGATATTATGTGCATAAATTACATGCTTTATTTGTAAATATTGACACCGTTTACCATTGTATTTAATATGACGCAGAGTAACCGCGATACAATACTGTTCATGTCAAAGCTGCATGGAAGGGTCTCTGTTGATCAAAACTAAACCTTGGAGACAGGCTGTAAATAGACTTCAATACACACCCACGACGGGGAGCATACAATATTTTGTGATGACACTTCATATTTTATATGGAATACTTAACTTTAATTTCCTTTTTTAATAACTAAGATATATATAAGGATAAATAACTTCGTTTTCTGTCATATTTTATCCTCGTGTACTGTATTGTTATTTTTTAAACTTCTACTGTGTAACCAGATAACGAATACTCATATAATTGCGCATGTACCGGTGACGTCACAATATTGCTTGTTCCTGTTCGATTCAGTCGAGGCATGATGTTATGATGTCTATAGCAGAAACTTTTGTATTTATCATCGCTATAGCTGTAGTTCTGGGATGGTTGTTTGTACTTTTAATGCATACAGTTGCCCTGATCTATGGGTAAGTACATTTTTGCTTATTTCATGAAATATTAAATTTGTCATCACAATTGAGCCCTCCGGCCGGGAATTCTCGAATGATACTCCATGTCAACGGTCATAATATAACGGATATGAAATTAGATTTGTGTTCTTATTCAAGAAACTATGTTGTACCATTTATTGTCATTGATTCTAAACTGCCAAAAATGTTGTGTTCAACTAAGATATAAATGTTGTGAAGATACTGGAATAGTTGCTGGAATGCGTATGGGCGGGGACACCGGTACAAGACGAAACGTATACATGAAGGTGTGGGTCATGGCTAGTTACAGGATATTTCCAGATAAACTAGAATTATTATCAGTACTTTGTAATAGTATCGAATTTCTCCATGCAATAAATATCAAGTTGTATAAGGAAATCATATCGTATGTATTGACCTGCTACCGAAACAAGCCTTACAACCCGTTCAGACACCTTGGAATTTTGACCGACAACCATCTTGCATGCTCCACTGCACAGTTATACTACACAGAGATGACGTCCTTCACGCTAGACTGGGCATTCTTGTTACAAGCTTGCTGTATTCATGTAACGAAAGTCCGGGACATGTATTTCATTCCCAGCATAGATGTTTCCATCACCCGTGAAATAAAGATATTGATTTAATATCATTGTTTTGCTTCATTAGAGATGACATCATAAATTAATCTTAACAGCCACTAGATCTAATTATCCCCGTTTTTGTTACACTGGACATCTCTACTAATTTAATCACCAATAGGTACACAACTGATTTTACCAACTTTCCAAATCAATTTTGTTTATTTTTTGCTGTACAAATTTACCAACCAGACACACACTACATCTTTTATTGTTGGTCTCTGTATCATTTACCGTCTTTCACCATGTGATCATTTGATGATTAGACTACCCAATTCTAATTATAATTTTGATTTTCTTTAAAGTGTGACAAGTTCTAATTCCCAGTTTGAAATTTCAAATTTGTTAAATTATATTCTTGATATTATAAATTTACATCAAATTTATCTTTGTTACATACATATACGAAGTGCACCATGACCAGTCATATTGTTGATATATACCCATATACAATTTGTAGTTTTATCCTAAACATTTTTATCAGCAATGTCACCTCGGGTTAACAGACATCTGTTGTTGATAACTAAGTTTTGTACTTGTGTACTGATGAACAGGTATGCATTGGGTTGATATCAGTTATCAGACTGTGTATATAATGATATACATGTGTAACTAGTCTACAACAGTGTGTAATAAATGTCTGTGCTGTAGTCATGTTTACATTTAATTTACTACTAAATTCATTCATGCTGGCATATGCATATATTTCCCTACATAAACCAGCCAGGGTTAATTTAACCACTCGCTGAGGCTTAAAGTAAACTTTTCAAGGAACCAGAATTTTGCAGAGACAGATCTTCAGGTTCACTTGTCTAACGACTTTCCCTTGTCATCATAACGTAAATAAATGCGAAAACTTGTACTCAGTTTTAAAATGCTCCAGAAAACAGGCATGTCTTTTTAATATTTAAATAAGGGAATATTTAGAGTGAATTTCAACACACCAATCCTAGGTGGTCTGTCTTTAAAAAAGACCCATGAGACAGAGATATCTTTACTTATGATCAGAAAAGATATCTCAGACTTACTGTAGGGTAGAAACGGGGGATTCCCCTGTCATGTCTAATTTGCCGGAAGTTATGAAATAATTTTTTGCATTCCATGCATTTAGTATTTAAATTTGATGTGGGGAAAATTATTCATTCCCAACTTTAGGAGTAAGACAGATAATTTTCAACCATATCATATGGCTAGACATTTAAGAATCAACCCTATGGCTAGACAATTCACATATATAAGAATCTGACCCGTTGGGTTGAGATTTGTCTGTATTTACTATTTACTACCCCCCCAAGGTGTTTTTTTATTAATTATTGTAACAATGAATTTTAGATGTTATCTTCTAAATATTGATGAGTCCCATTACTAATAGTAGATTCTCAAAATGTAGGTGAATTCCACATGAAAAGCACAAGTCCAGGACTCAAAATATTTGTGTCCCAAATATTATTGTCTCACGTACACAGTCAGAAAAGTAGTTCAGCAGTGTAGAATTTCTTCACAGGGAAGTAAAGGTGCTTGTGTCACATGATAAGAGAAGACTGGGTGACGATCACAGGAATTTCCTTGTCTTTTGTCCTCGCTCAGGTTGGGCAAATACTTGGTTCCTTTTCAGCGAGGGAGAGAAATCTTACTTTTGTCAACGGAGTATCATTTTCAGTCTTATGTCCATAGCATTGTTTGTGTAACTCTACCTTATATGTGTATCCTTTAAAACATTGTATGAACTGAAAGTTGTAAAATCAGTTTATTTTCTCCACCAGAAATTCTAAAAACGTTTTCTACTATCCATATACTGTAGTTATACTGTAGTTTGATATTGAAAGATATATATGCGTGGGAATGTGTTTGATCAGGAGATGCAACATGTGAAGTAATACTGCAATAAGTCTGCTATGAAATGTGGGATCAAAAGTTGGGGATGGGCTTATTGGAGGGATATAGATAAGATTGTGAAATCGTTTCTTTGAGGTCCCCGAAACACATGGAAAGGATTGATGTGGCTTATTTCCAGGCATACTTAATTGAAGAGACAAAACTTTTCTCCATAAGTGTGACAGTATCCATTAATTGGTCTTTTCGACATTTAAACTTGACTTGAATCAATGCCTGTGTTTGAAACTTTTTATTTGTATCATCAATACATCGATCATGTCAGTCTAAATCAATAGAGAAATAGAAATGAATTCAAAATAAAGTTAGATTTGTGACATTCGTGTTTTAAGCACAACCTTATAAATTATTTATTGACGATCATGATTGAACTCCATGTCTGTTAGACAAATCAGTCAATGAGGGCATGTATTTTTAAATGTTGGGTCCCATCTGGTAGGCAATAATGCTAGTGTCAAATAGAAATTATGTAGGACATAAAAGATCTTCAAAATGTTTGGATTCCCCAGCTGGAGTAGTTTGATTTAAGGACATGCAGCATCATTGTAAACATTGAATATCATTAAGATTTTATTGTTTATCCACTCGTGCTCCTCACTACAATCATATATACGTAGTATAATGATTCACACCTGGTCATATGACTCATACAGGACAGCTTGCGCTAGAGATATCGGAGTTCTAAATATAGACTATCCTGTTATTTTATCTCCAAGTGATGTAGCAACATTGAAATATCAATATTTTTAACTGTTTTTTTCAAATGTTCGTATAAAAAATGAACCAACATTTTCTGGGCTGCACTAGTCAGCTTTTTTCTTTTCTCCTCTCTAGTCTTACTTCTCTTGATTTTTTCTGTTTTTTTTTCTTTCCCAAATACCTGTTCTCCTATATGACCTAAGATGTAACAAGGACAGTAAATTTAAAAGTCGAACAAAACAAAAATAAAAGTAGTGCAGGTGAATTAAATAACTTGCACATGTATGTCTGCCCTCAATACGATAACAAGACCTAGTTTTTACAAAATGCTTGTGCTGATATTTATGACAAGATACCTACGTATCTAATATTGAATTTTCTTGTTACCTCGTAAGTGTACAGTTTACTGAGTAATCAGTTCACTGTGAACTAGTTCAGGTGAACATACAGCCTAGACATTTAATTTCTGTAGGCATTTGTTTACAATAGTGTAAGGTAATGGTGACCCAGTTTAGGTTGTACTCCTAGTCCTTGTAAAATATCTGAAATACACCTTTAATTAGCAGCAGACTATCAGAATCTACATCTCAGTTTGATGTTATGTTAGTTGAAAAAGTTTTAAATTCAAAAATTTGGAAAATAGGAAGAAATGAACATATTTGTATGCACTTCATATTTTATATATATATATATGATAATCCTCTGACAGATGTGACATGCATTGTTTCCACATGTAATTTTAATCAGGGATTCCCCTAATAAATATATGTATTCAAGATTTCAAAAAAAATCTTGAAAACTCTAGCTTAATTCAACTTAATTATGTGTTAAAAGTAAGATTTTAATCAGTGATATTTTCACAACAATCAATCGGAAATGAGGAAGAAATAAAGTGTTGTTGGATATTCAGTGATTACAGAAAATGATCATGGTACATTTATTTCCAAAAAACTCTTTAAAAAGACGAAAATCCTTTATATTTTCATTTTCAGCTTGTATTCAGGTGATTTTGCTGAAATGAAATAATATGTAAATATAAGGATGTTTCAGTCTTTTTAGTGATGCGTTTCCAAACAAAATTATTTGGTATAATTCTTCCAAAAATTCCATATTTGGCTTACCATTCCCAAAATAGTGAGAAATGTCCTGATCTTTGGGGGGGTGCATAGGAAGCACTTTTTTCCACGGGAAATTCATCTCGAATTGAACACGGTTATTATCTTCATGTGAATATTTTAAAAATCCATTACTTCTCAAATTGTGTTTTTATATTGACTAGATCATAGATTAATAAATTGGCTTCCCTACTCCAAATATGTGGGGGCCATAACTGTGCATTAATAGTGGTGGCTTATTTGGGTTTCACCTTACAGTGAATTAACAACCGACTATAGGTTGTGTTAATGACCGACTTATTGGAGCGTAGCATTGTGTAGTAGTGTTACCATAAACCTCTACCATTCATGTAAAACAGCCCCGATTTAATTTCTATATAAACTCACCAAGGTCACGGTCATTGCCCGTGGTTTAATCACAGCTACACATAATGTACCTGTATAATCATAATACAAGTACTTCATTACCTGTGTAAAATATATATGTTAACTTGTGTAGGACAGTCTGTGGCGAGGCGCATTGTATTTTTAGAAGATTATTATCACGACTGAGGTGGCCATCGTGTATAAGGGCAGGAATGTGTATTGTGGTAGTCTGGTAGTCCATACCAACTAATAACAGAGAGACGATACCTCCTATACACTCTACCCTATACAGAGTTACATAGAGCTTAATACTTCAATATTCCTTACAGAAACTTTATAGGCTACCATACTAGATTAGCAGATATATATATACAAGACTTTAGACAATTAAAAATGACAAATGACCTGGTTCTCTGTCAGATCATATATCTGTAGTGCAATACACACCTAGTAAACTGTGTCAATTAATGAATTCAAAGTAAGTCAAATAAAAATTAAAAAAATCTGAAAAAATAAATTGAAAATTTATGACATTACATCAGATTTATGATTATTTTTTATATTCTTATACGAAGTTTCAAACAAAGGTTTTTTTTATCAGTTATTTCCCAAACTGTGACTTTAATTCATTCACAACTGACAGATTAAGTAATTTAAAAAAATCCATCCTATCCCCAATGTCAAACGTCTGAAGTTTTGCCACTAAAAAAGCCAAAAGTCTAAGCATTATCAAATCTCTGCATTATTTTACTATTTGATGTGCTGCAGGGGCCAATGTACATGGAGTTACCGCTTACCCTGTCACACTAGTATACCTACTGTAGCCAAATCTATGTGTTAATATGTATTTGCGATAATTGCAGCTGATGGACTTGATATTACCCCCCCGGTAATCTTAAATATTAAGCAGTCAACATACATTAAGCATTACTTAACAATTTATAACCAAATCTTGGAATAATATAACCATTTTGGAGTTGTTAAAATGAAGATATATGTTTCGTTTGTTCCAGATGTTATCTTATGCACCGCCCTGTGCCTCCGCCCGACCCAGAGAACCTCCATGGGGTGTCCATCCTTAAGCCTCTCACAGGAGTTGATCCTAACCTCTACAAAAATTTAGAAACATTCTTCAATCAAAAGTATCCTGCAGTAAGTTTATTTGTATACCTAAATCATGAAATGTGCATAAATTATCTTGTTCAGATTTAAATTTAAATCTTGTGATGAAGATTATTTCAAACTCTCTGTGCAGTGTTGAACATTGAAATCTTGTTCTCTTTTCAGTATGAACTTCTTTTTTCGGTCCAAGATGAAAATGATCCTGCTATTATGGTGGTTCAAAGTCTAATTCAAAAATATCCAAAAGTTGATGCCAAATTATTCATAGGTGAGTACTATACATATATTTTTGTTTCCTCTTTGCTGAAATAAATCAGAGTAGTTCACATTGAAATTTTTTAAAATGACATTCAACACCATATAATTCAATTTTGAAACATTTTTTGTTATTACCCAACTTCCAAAACTGTGTATTGGGCTATTGGTGAAGGACTTTAAACTGAGTTTACTGATAAAAAATGTGCAAAAAGTGTATCTAAGAAAGCTCATAACTTAATAATAAAATAATATTTGTACAACACTTTGATAATGAAATATCATGGCAATTTTACGGGGGAAAATATCATTCCATGGCCAGCCGATACAGTGTCAGTTGTTTGTTTATTTGTCACTTACAGTAAAGGTTGTTGTTTGTTGTTGTTGAGCAGGTCTTCGATACGTTGGTCCTAATGGGAAAATTAACAACATGGTTAGAGGGTACGAGGCTGCTAAGTACGACTGGATCGTCATCTCAGACAGTGGTATCTACAGTGAGTATCAACTTTATAACACTGCATCATACATAAAGCCAAAGTATCTTTATTTCCAATTGCATGTGCTTAATGGGCTCATCCATACCAATGCATGGTAGAGTCTACTAAAGTTACATAGGGGTGAAAGGGTTAAAGCAAAAGGAAATTTATTCAGGAAAAAAATAATAATGATGTTGATACGGGTGAAAGGATCTATAAGATACAGAGTAGGTTGTTATGGTTGTGAATTTTGTGATTGTAAACTAATCGGTCTCTATTTTGTTCTTCAGTGCGTCCGGACACCTTGCTGGACATGGTGAGCTATATGAAGGCAGACGTGGGACTTGTGTTACAGATGCCGTACACAGCTCATAGAAAATATGGATTTGCCTCCGTATATGAGCAAGTGAGTTTTGGTGAATGTTTCTTAAAATGATAGATCATTGTGGTATAATGGAATTATACAGCAATTTGTTTTTATTAATTTTTGATCTGAACGTTTTGAAACATTTAATATTAATTTAAAGTTGAAATTTAAAGGAAGAAATGCAAAAAAAGTGTGAATATGTTGATGGTTTGCCGTTTTGTTGAGGTAGCAAATACTAATTAGTATTCATATTTTTTTCAGGTATATTTCGGTACATTTCAAGCGAGAAACAGTCTGGGCGCCAATGCTATTGGGATAAACTGTTCCACAGGCATGAGCTGTTTATTTCGTAAAGAACTCCTAGAAAATGTCGGAGGTCTTCAGGCCTTTGCAAAGTACCTGGCAGAGGATTTCTTCATTTGTAAAGAAATTGTTAAACAGTAAGAGAAACCTTTATAGTTTATTAACAAATGAACACGGTATTGATCATCAAAGATGATTCTTATTGATCAACCAAGTTGTTGATAATATGACTTTATAATATAAAATAATGTAATAAAATAATAATTTAAATAATAATATGAATAATGACAAATTAACAAAAATATGAACAGCTGTTATTGAAGCAGGTTCCACATGCATACTCATGTTAATTCAAGCATGCATTTGAAACCTTATATATTTTACATCGATTGCTTTAAAATGCTCTGTTTGGATGTTTTCTATTACGTATTGTTATGTTTTGGACACCAGAGTCACACAATTTCAGAACGATGTTAATACATGTATTTGTTGGAAATTGTAGAAAATACAAAACTGTGTTATGCAGTCAGCCAGCGATGCAGAACTCGGGGAACTGCACAGTAGAACATTTTCACAAACGCCTAATTAGGTAAGATATTTTAAAAGGTTATAAAAGATTATATTTCGGAAAGATACATTCACTGTACTCAGGGACTATACTCTGGGACTACCCATATATATTTGGATTGGAGGATGGGCTGGCAGTTAGGTAGGTTGTGTAATTATGATTGATAGTATAGGGTGATGGGGTCTAAAATTAGTGTCGGTACTTATTCAGTGGTATTTTTTACCTGAATTTTTACAACAGCCTGTTCCGTTATGAAATGGGAAAATATAGTATCATTTTTATGAAATTGGGAATATATTCCTCATTGTTGGTCATTTTGGAAAAATAAGACACTTTTTAGCTAGGGGAAATGGCCTGTATTCGGTTGTAAAATTGAGCAAAAAAATCACTGTTATTATTGATAGTGGGGTCTAAAATTAGTGTTAAAATATAGTGGATCCAAGAGAAATGAATTGTGGGTGATGGAGGTCACAGAAAATGTCTCCATGAACAGTTTCATTTGTATATTTTATGTGAACTTGTGAAAGAAGTTTTGATGATATTTTACTATTGTATATATATATATATATATATATTGAACTGGTTATTTGTAGGTGGTCACAGCTACGGGGAGCCATGCTACCCCATCTCATAATACTGGAGCCCATATCGGAGTGTATGTTAATGGGTGTGCTCATATCTTGGGCGTTGGACTTTCTGTTCAATGTCAGTCCCATGACCGTCTTCCTCCTGCACACTCTGATGTGGTTTCTCAGCGACTACTGTCTACTCAGGATAGTAGAGGTAAGCCATGCTCTTTTTACATGTCACTGCTGGCTGTTTCATGAGACATTTATTCTGCTGTCTTCTGTTAATTGGTATGGAAGTTGATTGCCGATTCAGCTAGGTATATTCTAAAACATTGAAATTCATTTATATATAATAGATTTTATGTCTTTGGTTCATAAAGGTGTTGAAAAGTGCTTGAATTTAAGTTAGTGCTTGAGAAGTAAAGGAAAATAGGTGTATCACCGAAAACTGCTGGGGTTTCCTCAATATTCTTGTTATGTATCAGTTGAAGAACAATCACGAAAAAATCTTTTGGCTCATTTGATGTAAGTTTTAAGCAATGTTGACATTATGCATGACTTTGTAAATACATGTTTTGTGACTTTGAAAATACAAGTTTTCTTATTTCTTCTTTTGCAGAATGGACCACTGCCATTTTCCAAATTTGAATTTTTCGTGGCGTGGATTACAAGAGAATCACTTGCGTTCTGGTTATCCCTTAGGAGTCATAAAAACAACGTTATTCAGTGGAGACATAAACGTTACAAAGTGCACTGGGGTGGGGCTGTTTCTGAGATTTGAGTTCGTAATGTCATATATCATCATCATCATCATCACCATCATCATCATCATCACTTCATTGAACCATTGAGGCCAGTCTTCGCCATTTCTGGAGTGCTTCATCATGACCAACACTTGTAACAGGAGGAGACTTTTGGGATTTTAATCAGATTCTGTGTCATTGTTTGGATGTTTAAATCGACAGTTTTAACACTTTTATAAAGTTCTTTTTTATCAACTATCGAAACATCGTCGGTACATGTAGACAGGCTTGACTTCTGAAGAAGTTGCCTGTTTATATAAGCTTGACTTTGGAATAAAATCAACGATTTAACAGCATTGACAAAAGGCCAAAGTCAAGTTATTGTCAACATCGTACACCCGAACTTACTTTTCAATTAACACTAATGTATCCTGTGTATCAGATTTTTAACGAAAATACATTGAAAAAAATTGAGAACACTTGCAAACTTAAATTAAGTGCATGAAGAAATTAATGATGTTTGTTTTTTTAAATGTCACTCAGGATCTGGTTCTATCTCTGAATGTTGGTTAAAATTGTTTTCACTCCAAAACTTTCCTTTGGAATAGTACTGTTATTTGATATTGCACATTTCGTGCCATATTTGTAATGTTGAATTTGCATGTGTTTAGTTTTCTTTCTTTTTTTCCCCAAAGCATTATTGTTTTCTTGAATATACTTTTAAGATCTATATTTTTTTCAATGATTTATTATTGAAGGTTAAGATGATGAATTATGTATACAATATTACTCAAGAAATTAGTGACTCTGTATAAATAAACACTTTGGCATTATATTTAAAATGATTGGAAAATAGTTTTTGAGATATAGAAAAATCTCACTTTTTGTAAGCAGAAGATTTCAATAATACTCAGAATTACAAATCTGGAATAAAACTGCCAAAAGATAATTAAATGAATAATAAATCTAGAAAATGAATGTTTGCAAATCATGTACATATGTAGGTAATGCATCAAATGTTAATGTATTACTGTGGACCGAAGGACCAAGGGAGGCAACTTCAATGCAGGATCCCAGAAACAGTGCTATAGCTGTAGAGGCTAAATCATAGAGAATTGTTTGTTTGAATTATGTTTGCTACCAATCTCCCTGTCTGATTCTGTTGGTGAGGACCCAGCAGAGATATGACGACAGTGTAATGATCAATGATCAATGCAATACTTCAGGACAGTTTCAGCAAATGACTGATTTTCCATGCATATCGCTTGGATTCAAAGTTAATGTGTTTTAATATAACCGCGAGTATATTTTTTGATGAAATTTGATATTTTTTCTTCTGCTAAGGTACCAACAAATTACAAAAATGAAATACAGGATTTAGCAGTTATTACCTGGTAATACTCGTTTCAAAGTGAACTATTCATGAACTATTAGATTTTTTTCCCCAAGGTTTTTGAGTTAATTTAGACAAAATTATTTGCAAACTATGGTAATTTGGTATAAATAAACATTAATCAAGTAAAACTTTGTCAGAGTACACCTGCTGAAGTTGTAATGTTTTTACTGATTATGTTGATATTGTGGCTATGTCACCATTTGCTGGCTCTGTCCTTATACTTGTCCTCTGATGTATAATTAGACATTTATGTACCATGTGTACATGTATGTCCTATCCCCTGTCTCGTCTAACCCATAATATTGTACCCAGTTTTCTCCCCACTTCCATATAATTTAAAACTTGTTTGTTGTTGGTAAGATAACTGTCTGAACGGGATTGCTTGGATGGTACAGGTTTTTGGTATGCTTTTTGACTATTTGATCAATTTCTATGCAACATACTTTGATTTTGTTACAGGTTTTTGGTTTACTTTTGAACTATTTGATCAATTGCTATGCAACATACTTTAATTTTGTCTTTTAAGTTTATCTAAAAATGGTTATAGAATCACTGAAAAAAAATGCAGAAATATTTTTAAGATATTAAGCATGGCAAGGGAGTTGACTTTTCAGGAAATCCATTTAGGATTTTAACTATTGATTTTTTTTAAAATATCAATCAGAATTTTTTATTTGTAATTGAAATTCAAACATGCCCAAATGCTAAAGATGAAAGTCACAATTTATTTTTATAATCACAAAATCTTGCTGCCTTTTTTTGAGATAAACAAAATATGGTACGCTTTATTAAATATATTATATAATTATTCGGGAAAAAAATACCATCCGATTGATTCCTTTCAGACAGATATTGATTATGCTGTTTTTGTTCCAAGTATAATCATGTCTGAATTTGATTTGTTTTAATTCCCCAAAGGACTATTTAAATTGAAGAAAACATCAATGTGGTTATATACTGTACCAGTATATTTATACTCCAGACAGACTTCTACATGTTAAAAAATAAATATATAGATATTTGAGTTTTAAATTTAACTTGTGTCTCCATAAAGAACACAGATCTTCTAAAAATTAATGCAGAAAAATTCTACAAAATTATGCAACTGAGGTACTGAAAACATTTAAATGGGTTGAAGTTTATTTTATTTTATGGAAATTTGTTTCATGCTGTTATTAGCTTTACTCATTTTTGAAAATAATCATGTGTTGCTTGAAGATTCCACCAAATTCACTGTGTGTCTTTCCCAAGACATGTAACATCCATATGTGTGTATTAGTTAAATACACATTTTACTATTGTTGTACACTTAAAAAGTCTAGGTCAGTGGTTCCTTCACAGTTGGTACTTCTATGATGTCTTTTCCACTGCTTCTTAAAGTAAGATGTTGTTGATTTATGTGGGTTGATGGTCAAGAAATTACAGCGATTTTTTTTTCACAGATGCTTTAAATAGAAATCAGAAACGCAATAAAAGTAGCCAAAAATTTGAAACAAAAAACTGAGAAAAAGTCAAATTTGTAAAATTTGTAAATTGTAAGTAGGTGGCCTATCAACCATGAATGCCCTGTTTTACTGCCATAGTGGGAAAACTGAGAGGTGTCAACTTGTGAATCTGAAGCCTGTCTTAGGTACCGGTGTTATACTAACTATAAGTGTACATGTTATCTCAGGAAGTACATACGGACACTGGTTTGACAGCCGTGCCCCCAAGGCTTATGACCGTCCCAGGCCCCATCCCAGGGCTGGGACATGAAGGCTTGAGTTAACGTGTGCTGGACAACGTGTTTAAATTGTTACCATAGAATTATACAAATTGATGACTGATGATCGTATATGTGTCGGCTTTTGCTGAAGTGTTGTTTACTCCTGTAATGTCCCTTCTGTTATCCTATATTTTGTATGTTATTAATACAATGGATAATTTCATTGAAAGCTTTTAAAGAAGGAAAAAAAGATGCTTTAGTATTGAAAATTTATTTTCTATCACCTGACTTCTAAAATTGTATCAAGTTTTTATTTTAAATTAATTCTGATTTTGTGTGATCAGAATTTATTTGGAAAGCTTATTCTTTTCGAAACAAGAATAGTATAAAAAAAATGCTATTTTGATTGATCCTAAAGGTAAAAAATGTGTGTAGTTTACTGCAAAACCTTGTTTTGGAATTGATCTTCAAAGAATTAATCTTCAATTTAATATTTTAAGAGAAGTTTTCTAAAAAAAATAAATATGATGATTACAATATGACATTCCACAAATTTTCTCTGTGAAAATGACACATGTTCTTGAGGTGCCGTGCAAATGTACGATGACATCTCGGATATTTGTCATTCACAGGGATTGTAGGTGGTATGTGTGAAACGAGTTATTTCACCACGTACTATATATGTTAGAGTGTTGTCACACTCTGTTTCAATAATTCCTGGCTTCCCAAAACAATTCTAAAAAACTCAGCTCTTTGGCGATAATTAAATTTCTCGTTTGTTTGTTTAAAAACCTCAAAATAGAAATCAGCAATTTGGTGCATACCGGTACAAATTGATTTATAGTTGTTGATTGATAGCTTCAACATGTTTTTTTATTTTTAGTTAATTTTTTTTTTAATTTTTTTTTGGCAAATTGAATACTTGGGATCAGATTCCATAGATGTATAACTGACATAATTTAGTAATTGTCTTCAGCCAAAATTTAGCTCAAGTTGTAGATTGAATCTAGGGATCAACCTGATTCATTACAGTATACTGTGTAATCTCCTAAATTCCTGTTCCTCGGAAACTATGCAGTCAGTCGTTGTATTTCCCGTGTTACACGTTTTTGTACGATATACGATTGGTTTACTCCTCTCTCTTGTATTCATGTTAGAATAATGTTATAAGGCATTGTTTATATTTACTTAAGTCTGTCATGTAAGAAAAGTATGGAATTGTAACAAGATTTAAGAAACGTCTCTAGATTCAGCAGGTAACAAAGGTTAATTTAATTACCATCTGCTTATCATTAATAATAAATTGATGGATCTTGGTATGATAATTTGATTGGACAATTTTAGCAGTAATTGACATGATTTGATCATTAATTAAAAACAATCAGAAGTGATTTGATATGTACACACTATGTTGAACATATACTCTACTGTTATTTAGGATATTTTGAAAACTTGTGCTGGGAAAATAGTGTTAAGTTAGTTTTGGAAATTATACGCAAAAAGATTTGAAAGGAAACTGCTTTTATAACAAACGTTTTTTATGAAAATAAAATAAATGAAATACACTTTTTTTTGTTGAGAATTGTCATTGTCCATGGGGATGTTGTTAGCTGCCTCGTAACAAAACAGGAAGGATGGAAGTGCTGAACAGGACCATTTTTGTTCCAATTCTATATACATTGTATGTATCTTTATACTATTCTCTTTCGAACATGGATTCTTTTGGGTCTATCAGCACGAAAAGATGAGAAGGGAGTGGTGTGTCTACAATGTGATAATATACTGGAATACCGCAACTTCACACACGATTCGCAGGAATGGAGTTTTAGAATTTCACACACTATTAAAACTAATATTTTCACACGTTCTTCATATGAACAGGTTAAAATCTAGACGATCAGTTCGTTTGATCATAGAGGACTGTGAAAGTTCACTACGTATACCTGTCGACTGGTTAAATGGCAGGGTTTCAATTTACCACCATATGGGGAGTATATGACCTCCTAAAATGGCTGTTTACCCTCAAAATGTTAGAGGCTTGTTATATAAAGGGATCAGATTTCGTGATTTATGTCTTTGCAAAAAAACACTAGTGGTTAAGGGTCTTTGTCGAAGACTGATTAATAAACACTAGGTACATATATAAACTACATCCGGGCATTACATCAAAGCATTCATTGTCCCACGGTGATCACACGCTGCTGTTGTACCTCGCTGTCCATTTTAAATGTTTTCCGTCAAACCCTTGAGGGCGATTCGTGATTTCAAAAAGGTGAAGAAAAAAAATATCCTTAAGAACTATGATACACCCCTTTTGAGGGAAAATTTGTTTTTCTTTATTGAGTAACTAAAGTATGTATGACAAAATGTTAGTTTTTATCACCATACTACTAGAGTGATTGGTACCAATTTTGTGAAATTCAATTCAACGCAAATGTGGAATGTTTTGACGGGAATGGTAATAAAAGAAACACGACCCGGTTCCTCATAATGGCGTTTAAACCGTGACCAATTGGTAAAAACTAATTAACAACCCAATGAAAACCAGATAGAAGTAAAGAATAGAATTGTGTTTGTTGTTTTGAACGTACATATAAGCCGGATTGCAATGCATCTTTTTAACATTCATGATGGTATGCAACACTAAAAGGCACTATCTTCTGTTTTACGTGCGAATTGAAATGCATCTTTTTAACTTTTATGATAGCTGAAGGGCATATCTCCATTTAACGTACAGCAGGGTTTTTAGCTTGATTTTGTTTAACGTCCTATTAACAGCTAAGGTAATTTAAGGACGTGCGTCCATGTGTGTAGTGTATGCGTGTTGGCGTGTGTGTATGCAGGAGACGGGGCATGTTGGTGTGCTTGCCTCCTTGTGATAGCGCGGATCTGATGCCGACTTTATTGTGCTATCTCACTGAAATACCATGCCGAAGGCACCCAGCACTGCATTCCGCCCGGTCACATTATACTGACAACGGGTGGACCAGTAGTTGCAATTCCCCTAAATGCTGAACGTTAAGCAGGGAATAACAACTACCATTTTTAAGGACTTTGGTATGTCCCGGCCTGGGGAAAGAACCCATTGCCTTCCTCGCCTGGGCGAACGCTCAACATTAAAGCCAAAAGTGAGGTGTTGCCAAGCAAGGCGTTTGGAAAGAAAAGGTAGAACGTAGAAGTAGAAAGAAAGATAAAGATTCCAAATATTGCATTGAAGCAGCAGATTTATTTTGGTTGCTTTTGTGTCCCCAAATAGAGGAAACCAAAGCAAATCCCAAATTCTACAAGTTTTTTTTTACATTAGTCGCCTCCTACGATACATACAGTGGTGTATTCCTTCCCCGATCCGCCACCTGTTATGTTTCGGAACATTTTATAGACATAGCTTTTCATTCTTTTGACCTGTAGTAAAACTAATAAATCCTAAATAGACGAAACGGTGCAGTAAAATGACTGCATTGTTTGGCTCATTGCACTCTACTTAATAACCTTTTTCAACATGATGCTTAAATCGATTTTCTGGGTTTTTTGTACCTCCCAGTGGCAGATGCGTCCTTACTTTGTATATCTAGAGACTCATTCACGATTCTACAGGGGTAATACTCACTTTCGTTCTCTGTACCCCTGGCATATGTCATAGCAAAATTGAAGGCACACGGCTAGCAATTTGATTGGTGTCCGGTAAAAAAGCATTACCAATACCTAGGCTTATACCTGTCCTTTGAAAATTACAGATGAGCGATGCCCCACTTCAAAGCTAATACGTTTTACCGTTACGCGACCGTGATATTCTTTTGATGTACATCAAAGGATCAAACTAGTCTTCTCGTCTCATCCACAAGGTGGTTCCCCCAGGGCCTTTAATTTTGCTATGACATATCCAGGGGTAACGCTCACTTCTGCTCTCTGCACCGTACCCCTGGAATATGACATAGCAAAATTGAAGGCTCAGTGTATAGCACCGTGTATAGCACCGGAGACGCTGATTGGTGATTTCAGAGCGTTCTATAAACATCTCAAGTGAGCCCCGGATGCTAATTTCGTTTGTAAGAACACCCATCAATATTCTTCCTTTGATACAACCATAAATGAATATAATTCCTCCTAAGATTTTTCAATGATTTAATAAAATGATGGTTTGGTGATCCGATTTGGGTACTGTCACCTTATGTTTTGCTAAAATTTAGACTCAACTATCCCCTGTCTTGAATATGGGAAGCAACAATAATGAAACTTTATAAAATTAATATTGATAATTAATTCAGATGAAAAGCATTTTCTAATTACTTGAAATGAAAATAAAACGCGTCATTGGATTCAAAATGACCAAAATTATACGACATATATACAAGTAGTTTACATATGAGTATAAATATATTTCTCTAGTCACTTTAAAAACATCAGTCGGCAACAACATGTTAACGACCTTGACTCTTTTATTGTATCATCATCTTGCACACGACAACGCGCTTTATCGATTGACAAATGTTTTTCGGACGATTGTTATCGGCTATCTCTCCACCGACCGACCGATACTACTGGAAAATTAATAAAACTCTACCCAACGTTTCCTTAGTATAGTATTCACATCGAGCGGTACATGAAAATATCGGCTGCACATTAAGTGGTATAATACAGCATGGCGTCCTTTCCAATGTTGACTCCACATCTAATGACAGGCTAACAAAATATCTATTCAAGGTGAAATGTGGACCCTGTGTTTCATAAAATTGAATAAGAACTCTTATAAATTATAGAAGATATCAGATATTTTTACAAGGTATAATATCTATCATAATATCTATGGTATCTTATGCATTCATTTATATAGGATATCTTATCAATAAATTTATACAGGATATCTTATGAAGAAATTTAAATAGGATATATTATGAAGAAATTTACATAGGGTATCTTACAATGTATGAATGAACTTATATAGGATATCTTATGAATTCATTTATATAGGATATCTTATAAAGAGATTTATATAGGATATCTTATAAAGAGATTTATATAGGATATCTTATAAAGAGATTTATAAAGGATATCTTATGAATTCATTTATATCGGATATCTCATGAAGGAATTTATATAGGATATCTTATGAAGGAACTTATATAGGTATCTTATAAAGAAATTTATATAGAATAATATAGAAATTAATATCGGATATCTTATGTAGAAATTTATATCGGATATCTTATGTAGAAATTTATATCGGATATCTTATGTAGAAATTTAAATCGGATATCTTATGTAGAAATTTATATCGGATATCTTATGAAGAAATTTATATAGGTATCTTATAAAGAAATTTATATAGAATTATATAGAAATTTATATCGGATATCTTATGTAGAAATTTATATCGGATATCTTATAAAGAAATTTATATCGGATATCTTATGTAGAAATTTATATCGGATATCTTATGTAGAAATTTATATCGGATATCTTAAGAAGGATGAGCGACATAATGTTATTGGATGTCTTATGAAACATGAATGAAATATCTCGTATCTTTTAAAAGATATCATATCTTTTATAAGATATTTTATAGTTCTTGCACGATACATTGTATATTATAAAATATATCTTATAGATATATAAAATGTAAGATTAAACATCAGATACTAATCATTATATCATATACATGTACATGAATAGACAGATCCTATCACAAACATTGTCAACATCTACGCAAAAATGCAATTGGTGTCTCTTTGTGTCCCTAGTGTTGTAATGGGCCTTATTGTGATTTCGTGATCATTTACACTATATCACGACTTGGCAGACTGAATAATTAAAATTGTCACATCATTATAGCTATTCGGATACTGTAAGCTTTTTTTTTATTTATATCATAAACTGAGTGAAAATCAAAAAGACGGCGGGGCAAACGTATGGAAAGAATATGCCACCATATATATGGATTGGATCAACTGAAGAAAATAAGCATCCGTGAAATGTACGCTATACACTGATACTATACTGCCGTTATCTTGTGAGTGTCATGTTCATCAAGAAGTCCAATCCAAACAGCACAATGTCTTGCCCGTTCTCGAATCTGTCTCTGCATCAGGTCAAAGCACATGGCGAGCATGGCCATACCGACAAGAAGATAGATTGTACATATAATCTGTTTTTCCTGACTTTGCCACGACTCAATGCTGTGTCCTGGCACAATGTCGCCAAATCCAATTGTCGACAGCGTGATAAAACAGAAATAAAACCCGGTAATAAATCCCCAACCTTCCTCCCATAGTCCGAAAAGCAGACTCCCTAACAGGTTGTAACTTATCACCACAACTAGACATACCCATATAGGCACATCCTTCTCCAGTTTCTTGCGCTGTTTAATCGACATCCCTTTATGGCCACGCTTCAGTCTGTTATGCTTCGCTTTCGGCCGAGTTTCGTCTGTGTCCTGTTTCCCGTGTAGTAACTTTTGACACCTCGCTGTCGGGCACGTTTGGTCAATGTCTAGGCTACCGATGGACTTTGATTCACTTTGTTTATCATAACTGTTACAGGAGGAATCAATACTGCCTGCCATGTTAAAAGGTAGATGTTCGTTCTCCCGCGACACCTCGTCTTGTCTGACAGTGCACTTTGATGCACTGCGGGCGTTTACGTGTTCACAAGGGAATTCAGCATCGGAAACAACCTGACATAACTCGCATTCAATACCTCTGTATTTGCCGTCTTGTCTTTCCTCGAGCTCCATTTCTGATCTACTGCTTTTTTTGCATGGCATGTGACGTGTACAAAGTATATTGAAAATAGTGCGCCCCTCACTCTTATTCTTTGATGCAATGTATTGACCTTTTAAGTACGAGAACATATTTTCGACCTTGAACTCCATTCTGTAAAATAACTGACGAAACGTTTGCGCCATTACATTGCCGAAATTTGCCAAGCAAAGAAGTGTTAAAGGGATTCCTAACATGGCATAAAACATGGTAGCGATCCGTCCACTGGCTGTCTTCGGAGTGATGTCACCATATCCTATAGTAATAAAATAAAATACATGAGTTTTAATTCACTTTTTGTAAAAGTATTTGTAAAATAAGGAAAAACTATTTAATATACAGTGGCGTATTCTATGCATGTTAGGTGTTATGTTGATGGTATCCATTCGTTTTTTCTGTGTTAACTCCAACAATACGACAAACGTCTTATATGGCAAAACAATGATAAACACTTGTACTACATATTGGATAAAATCAGAAATACATAGGCTTTGTAGATTATTGTTCAAAATATTTTTTTAATTTATTGTTTTTGTGTGTTATCATATTTTTGATTTAGATTGTAAAAAACATAGTGTTATTTAAGAACTGTTTCCGTTTCATTTGGAATTAACTGTTATTTATGTTTCTATATTATTGTGTATGATTCATTAAAATACTATAATTATACTTGGGGTTATCAGATGTAATAGATGTATGGCTGGTTTATGTTCAACTCAATCACCCTTGAAATCTTATAATGAACTATTCCAAACTTTGAATTGGAAGAGTTCAAATGTATCTTCGGGGATGAATGAGCTAATACATTTGCCACTACATGTTACTGCTGTAGTACCCCGTCACTAGAAAATTAGAATTAGCCAAGCATACGGCTTCACGTTATAAAATATGTATTGATTTATTGTTCATTCACGGAAAGGATTACTTTTGACATATCAAACACATGATACAGCTGTATTGTTTTTTACATTGACTTCTAATGTATATGATAACATAGAAAGCAGTAGATTGTTTTATTCAAGATTGATAAATGCCTAAAAAGAGTTTGTAAACATATTAATATTCATAAAAGCAATTTCTTAACGTAAATGTTATACCACTTGACCACTTATTCCTACTGGCTTAATAGATTATCTTTAATTGAAAAGATCCTTCCTAACATCTCCTTGCTAGACATGCCATTATTTATGATTTCAAACTGCGACTTTACAGTATCCGAGATATCAGTTAAAAAGGAGTTTTCACTTTATATGCCTTATTAAATACAGAGCGTAATATGAACTATTAGTTATTTTTTTCTCTATGGTTTATTCAAATTTACAATGTTGTCATTCTTATTGGATACAGCTTTGTGTATGTTGTTTATTTCTTGTATGGAAGCTTTAAGAGCTGTCAGATGTTATATGGTATTTGTTGTTTTAATGACAAATAGTTGATATGTGTTAAATATTTTATTCAGTTTATAGTTCATATTGCTAAGTGAAATGGATGTACATTTGTATTTAAAAACTGACATTTTTATTTTTACATTTCATTGATTGTTTTTAAATTTAATGTCAAATTTACCCAGGGATATATTATAATTACTAAATATATGATGGCGAGTTTCTATGTGTTATTTGCACGGGTGGATAGTTACGCATTGTTGTAGTTAATTCCTGCTTAAATCTTGGTGTAATCCAACTTCAATTCAACCGTATTAGATCAAATTCATTTTGTTTTGTAAAACAAAAAAAACAACAACAAAAAACACACACAAAAAAACAAAAAAACAAAACAAAAATATTTTAAATTTCTTTAATTTCATAGCATACTAATATCCGTCTGTACGAACATCAATGTCTTAATGATATGTTCGTCTCTTAGTATCAAGGTAGCTAACATTCGAGGTAGTGAAATTTGAAGCAGAGTCATCATCATGACAGTCAATAATATGGTATGGCAGGCAAAACACATTTTTTCAGCAAACGTTGAATTATTATTTTCATTATAACTGTCTTTAGTTGTAAATTGAAATATTTTAGTTTTTGAAGAACAGCTGTGACTCTTTGAGGTAGTTCTCCAACATGATTTTCGCTCACAAAAAATAAAAAAATAAATCAATTCGATGCGGCCAATCAAAACCTTTACCTAGGGCTGGTCCGAAACGAACAATTTTAAACAATTTGGCTATATATCAAGATCCAATTAAGAGGTCTGTTACATCTCACTCTAGTCCATACGAACATAATCGTCCATATGTATGCTGTACTTGGTTAAATAGTTTAATTATAACTCCTTTCCCTCAAATGTAAACATAACCTAACATCGTCAAAACTCATTAATCATCCACGTCTGGACAGCTTTGTATAATTTATTTACTTTTCCTCAGCTGAGATTTGCACCATAGTCATTATCACACAAAATCTAATAAACTGATGTTGTTGTGCTGTGTTATTACACCATCGATTGCTTTTGTTGCGTATGCTTCAGAACGTTAACCGAAGTTTATATATTTTTATGACTCCTGATTTCGTGTATAAATAATGTAAAGGCCGTTCAGGTAAACTTGCCGTGTTTGATGTCGATGGGTAATTGTTATTGTTTTCAGAGTGATGATACACAGGTGATAACAAGAGTGATATGTAATTGTATTGTTCTGAGTGCCTCTACTCTATGATATCGTCCACTGTCTACAAAGTATATTCACGACATGATCCCTATCTGTTAATGGGACGGCTTACTACTGAGCTGCATGATATGCTGGACGATCGAGATTTCCGATCGTGAGCTTTCCGTTTTTTGATAGTGACATCCGTTCTCCAACATACAGTGTATATATGTCGCATTTTTTTCGATATTCAAGACATTGCTCCAAATACATTGATGACCATGAACTGCTAACGGACGAGTTTAAACACAATATTTCCAGAGGTGTAGATTTATGAAGACTTCGGACACGCTTTATGTTCGGCATCATGATATCATTGGAAAATATGCTGTTTTTTGTGTGATTTGAAAGTCGGTTTATTTAATAAGGGTCACTAGCGTGTCTGGTTGTTTCATTTTCACTTCCCTGGTTATCCCTATGAGGACGTGTCATTTTTAGATTTGTCATTAATTTATATTTTACCATAGTGTCATCGATTGTGATTTCAAATAACGGTTTTGTTGTCATTTCGACATTCTCTATTTTTAGAAAGATATGCGTGTCGTGAACCTTATTTTGGCAGATAAATACAGTGATATAATTCTACTTACCAATAGTAGTTATTAACGTAACAGAGTAGAGGAGAGCTCCCACGAACGTCCAGTCCCTTTCCCCCTCCACCACGTCATCCACACCATCCCAGCCGTGCCCTTTAGTCTTCGTGTATAGCTCTCGCTGGAACGTCTTCATGATTTTATCAGCCTTATTTGTCCATGCCTCCTTGTTCAAGTGGTTTAATTGGTTGACTATGTCCCTGATTTCTTTCATCCTTGCAGAACGCATTTCACTGATGAAGGACCTTGTTTTCTTTTCATTCCATGCCTCAAGACTTTGGAAAATAATTGCGCCTAGTATTGCATATGCCACTACTATACAAGCAAGCCCTACGTTGGAAACTGAGAAAACGAACACCTTTTTACATACTAATATGCAGGTATCATGAAGGTTGTTTTTTCCATCGTCAGAGTTATTGCTCTTAACGGTGTCGACGGTTTCATGTTCATCTTTATCAGTGTACATTTGCTCTTCACAGCCGTCAGGAAGAAGTCTTTCTCCTGTGATCGTGTTGAAAACAACTAGACTGTCCACTGTAACGTCTTTTGAAGAATTCATCTTTGCATTATTGGCATACAGTTCCTCAAGAAACAAAGTCTCTGAAGAATGCTGGCCTTGTTCATGAGATGAAGTATCACATTCTTTGCAGTGTTTCCCAGCATAACCTAGAATGGCCGTCTCGGGTCCAAGTCTCAGCGGACTTCCATCACAAGAGTAAACAAAACTCCCTTTAGGGGACTTGCACTGACTGCCGTAGGAACTAGATCGCAAGAAATATCTGCTTCCGGTCCCACTGTTGCATTCCTCTTCATTCTCCTCGATGTTCTTCACATCATGAGAACTTTTCACCACCGTATTGTTGCCATTTGTAATGTTCATTTCGTCTTTTGTGTTTTTGCTAGTAGACACATTTTGTTTGAGAACATATAGTGTTGCGATGGAATCATTTCGTGTATTGGTGTTTTGATCTGATACAGTTGAATCACCGGCGTTGTCAGGATCAGCATTTCCCCTGTCTAATGTGTCTGGCTGTGAAACGCAATCTGGCTTCCCCAAGGAGTCTGTATCACACTCGTACAAGTCTGAAAACTCCTCTTGTGAAGCCATTGGTGCCGGTCTCGAATATGACGCCATTTGCCTGGTGTCGCTTCTGTCACAAAGAGAAAATATTAAAGTCATTAAGTTTGAAATGCTACTCTATCATGCTGCCACGAAATGAACATGACTATAACGCGCATTTATTATTTAGAGGTCTTTGTTGTATGCAGGTATATACAGGCAGCGAAATCTAGACATTTTGATGCTTTTCTGTGTTGTGTTATGTAATACCAGAATGGATGGTAAAATTATAAAAGGAACTATGATTACCCGTCTATTGACATGCTTCAAAATGTGGTCAAGCAAATCGTGTGAAATTGAGTGGGAAGCTGATATAATCATCAATTAGTGTAACCTTGCGCTGACAAGTAGCCGCCGTATAATATCGTCTTGTGAGTTCATCAATACAATTATGGAACGCACATGAATAAAACAAATTATTTGCTACTTTAATACGGTACATTTATGCTAACTCATCAAATCATAGTAAGCGCATATTTCAATATGAATAATAAAGATTGACGTTCTGAATTTATCTGATTATTGGGAATTGTAAAATAGCACACAATGACTTTACAAAATATGTCCTTGTTGGACTTTTTTTTTTTTTTAGTTCCAAGCCATTTAACAGATTTTGATATTTATGATCACTTGATATGACGTAAACACTTGGTCAATATATTTTCCTGTGTTTCCAAGGGTCCCAAGTTTAATGTTCTCTTCAAATGTCTAACCAGCCACAATGTAACTATGTCCTTCAAATGTCTAACCAGCCACAATGTAACTATGTCCTTCAAATGTCTAACCAGCCACTATGTAACAATGTCCTTCAAATGTCTAACANCCAGCCACAATGTAACTATGATCTTCAAATGTCTAACCAGCCACAACGTAACTATGTCCTTCAAATGTCTAACCAGCCACAATGTAACTATGTCCTTCAAATGATACTTGTTTTGAACGCAAAAACTTGTCGTCAAATATGTGCACGACATGTTATCAACATCCAAACAACGTATTTATAAAAAAAATATTCATATTTTTATTCATCTATTGGTACTGTGTGGTATCAGCCACAGGAGAAAAATGTGCTAAATGGTGATTTGGTCACAAGGGTTTACCGTCCTCAATTCGGCGAGACATAATACTATACATTTTCGAGCTTTGTACATTTCTTTGCTTTCGCGTACCTAAATAAACATGACATTATACTCGACTAGCATATTGTCATTCTATGAATTAAACATTGCAATATAATTGCCAGCATGACAATTTCTACATTACGAACATCTTAGAGAATCAAAACGCAAAAATTCTACCCAATAAACTAAAGGCTATATCCATTTCATTTAACAAGTTTTGTTATACCAGCACATAACGCAATTCTATTTTACCCAGGAAAGGTTTTGTGAAGAAGGAAAAAAAAAAAAAATTGCAAGATTTTAAGGGAAAATATGTAAATTCCTAACAGGAAAAGCGTTAGAACTTGTACTGAAATCATTTTGACTAACTCAATGTAATACTTACATACAAACGGTGGCTCCTGTGTTTACAGTGTTAAAGATGAATCACAGTTGTCAGTGTTTGTTCCTATTTCTGCTGTGCCTCGATTTGTCGCTTAGTCCAAAATATTTGCTGCAGTATATATATTGCATCCATCTGCGCTCCATACGTCACTTAACCGTAGACACCACATTACGGGACTGCTCCTCTGAGGCGCATACTGCATTTCAATTACTATCATTTGTATCTAATTATATCACTGGTTGCACGAACAAATGCACGTCTAATGGGAAATTTCATACAAATAATAGTTTTCATTTGTTTATCAACAAAGCTCATGCACTATTCATAATTTAAGGACGTAATGCAATTTCGAAATTGGATATATATTCCTAAATGTATCATCTAGACACATAAGGCTATGTGACAAAATTGAACCAACGCCGGATCCTAATGACAATTGCCTTATCATGAATAAATCATTCGCCTGTTCTCCGATAGTAGCACTGTGGTTTTGACCTATGATGTGACTTTTTCACCATTTGAATATATCTATCTTATATGTATATCCAAATCATGTGGTGTTTTGACCTATTTCTCAATTATTGTGTGCTATACCGTCAAAATAAAATAATTGCTTTGACATTCTCCTCTTCCATTGGTACTCCTTCGTGATGATGCCCATTCATCTCCATATGTCATAATAACACTAATGTTGTAACCGATGGTAACAATGTTATCACACTTGTGTTCAATTATAACCCGCCACTGTTTCAGAAAATGTAGTTGTCATTAGAAACGCCTGCAATACTGTAATNACCCGCCACTGTTTCAGAAAATGTAGTTATCATTAGAAACGCCTGCAATACTGTAACGTAATATCCGGTTATAGACATGATCGAAAACGAATTTCGTATGCATTGTACAAAGCGTCATTCATCCGTTCATCATCGTAAATCCGATTAAACCTTGATTGGACAGTGAACAAGTCCAAATTATATTAGAATCGATTTATACATAACTCTAAATACCTCTTCTATTGAAATCATCCAAGTATAAAATTATGCCTTCCTGTAGTTATAGGGAATAGATTTACTTCAACCCTGTTCAAATTGATTGGTAAATATCATTGGAAATGACCTTTTTTCTGCTGCCATAGAATGAACTTTGTTATCTATTTTTGTCTCATTTACTTCGTATTATTTCGAATAATTTTCAGCACACATCTGTTTATAGTGAATCCATTCTATTGTAATACGAATAGTTTTTAAAAATCGTATCGAAGTTGATAGCAAATATATTAAGTACATTTTGTATATGTGTTCACTCTCTTGCCATTTACACGAGTTTACTCAGATTCAAACAAAAAAATAAAAAAAATAAACAAATTCGTAAATATCAACAAATAACACTATATATTCAAAGCTATAATTTATCAACATTCGAAACAAATCCTTTGTGCTGTATGTGTTATATATTACTTTCTTTTTCTTTTTCATTCAATGTGCTACAACAAGACGTGGCAGATAAATTCTATCGTTATGATATCTGAGTCCGGAAGACGATTGTAACCGTTAATAAATATTAATGAAAGAATATATTCACAACCTTTGTCTATATGCATCTATTCCTCTGTCGTGTTTCTGTCGATATTTTTGGCAAATAGTTTCGAATTGATGAGTAAAATCTATCGTCCTTGGATGGGTCGATACCTCCGATGCTTTTGTAAATCCTTGAATATGACTGATCGTCCATAACACAATAAACTTCTTATAATTGGGTTTTGCACGTCCTTCAATTTCGGAAATGGTTATAACAATTTGTACCTCGAACATTAATCCTTGTGCAGCCGTTCTCTGTTCATTTTGCTACCTTATACACAGGCTTTGCCAGATTATATTGAAGTGATTTGGAAACACCAAGAAATGCTATGGTCCATACATGGTCTGTCGACACACATGTATTAAACTGTTCTATGCACATTATTGGTAACGTCCTCTAAAGATTATTCTAAAGTATCTTCCATTTCGATTTTACGTAGTTGTATTAGCTGACTGTATGGCCAAATGTGATAAAAACAAGTCTCACTGCACAACTGTCTTTTTTTGTGTGTTTACGCTGTATCGATTTCGGTTCTCCTCACGACCCGGTCCTGGCGGAAAGTCGTCATTATAGCAGTATCTGTTTAGAGACATGTCTCAGTTCTACACTAGTCCATTAGCTTAACGAGATGTAGATTTAGACACCTCAATATATTATCGTCTTGAATTTAAAATGGTATCGACCATCTACAGAAGTGGAATCGGAGAAATGGTATGGTTATGCACCAACAATGCATTACTTATGACTGTATCCGAAATATTGTTTGTTTGTTTTTAACCAAGGATCATAATTCATTTGATGTTACAATAAGCTGAATTAAGAAACTCGAAATGCAGGCCTTTTTATTAGTTATACAAATTAACCGGTATTCAGATAACCAATTTCTAAGTATTGCTTTTGGATTCTAATTGAGTCCTAACTGTCTATCCAACCAAATTCCGTTCATTAAATTGATCGTAAAGATACGTCAAGCTTCTTAAGTGAATGTTTTTCAAATCGATTTTGGGAAACATTGCGATGGATTTAAGTGACATAGTGACACAGTTTACATAAAAGTTGCTGCAATCAATATTGATTTTAAACCCAATTGATTCGACATTAACAATTATGTGTCATTAATGAATAATTATAACGCATACTTAAGGATCTGCCGGCGTAAAATTGTGACGTCAGAAGACATATTATGATATCTATATATAAAACACATGTAATGGTCATATGCGACGATCTGATTTGATATGAAGATTTCATTTGAAACGGCTCGTGCCGTCTATTTTCGTTGCTAATCACTTAAGAATATATTGATTGATTTTTTTATTAATTCCTTTTCATGTTATTTTATCCCTATTTCTTAACAATAATTTTTATATCACCTTTGGTATTCATGGTGTCCATGCAATTATATTTGGTTACTATGTAGCAATTAATTCACTGGGCACGACTGATAGGTTTCAAGCATGTTGAACAATGATTGAGGTTTGAAAATGCTGCAAAACGAGATAATTTCCACAGAGTAATGAGAAGCTGTGTACCGTGAAGATTCATTCAACATCACATCATACACTCTCGATACAGAAACTGGAATGATATCAATTGATATGCTATAATCAATATATTCTCATGTTGACGCATTCCTGTTTCATACAACGCTGTGAGCTTGGAACTAATGGAAATATGGTAAGTTCATGAAGAGCGTATGCTATATATCATACATGTAGCTGGTTCGGTCGGCGTATAGTTTTGGCGTAAAAGAAAAGTTCAAATTTCTAGTTTCCATTGCCAATAACACAATGTTCAATTTACCACTAGATAATCGCTTGAAGAACACTAACTGCCTTATGAATGCAAACAAATCATTAACCTATAATTACAAAAAAAACTTAATCACAATGGTATATGTGTAAAGTGCAATGTGATATAAAGCGATTTATTGAATCACTACGCACAAATCCCCTCTGTAATTTCCGATTTCAATAGATATAAAAACTGACCATGATAATTACTTTTCGGCGTGGAAACGTCGCTGGAACATCAAACGTAATAATCGATGATTCCTTGCACTGTATATCAGTAACTCATATCTCCATGTTTGGTAATGCAGCTATTAAAAAATCGCCACCATATAATCACCTTAGTAATACATATTTATATATACTTTTCACGCCTTACTAGGGTGTCATAATTGGTTAAGCCATATAAGGAGATATTATCCTCTTTGTAAATCAGTTAGTTTAGCATAAACTACACATATCGGTTAATGAAATCAACAAGGCAAATTTATTTCAAATCTTTTTCGTATCAGTGACGTCTGTGGTTTCAGACATTTACACTACATATGGTGACATGTTCTTGTTACCAACTTAATGGTTTCTACGTACACAAGTTGCTTTAGGTAAATTACATAATTGAGATGTTTGATATGTAGTATTAAAATGTACTGGATTTGAAAAATAGGTGTATTTCAAACGATGTAGAACATGCTGTTTTAAATTGTGTTTACGTATAACATATTGAATGGAAGGATAATGTGGCATTGGTAATTTTGCGCTGAGCAGAATACTAACTTTACAGAATCACGCTATTTATACTTCCCTATTCGCCTGATATTCTAGAACTCAGTAGTAAAAAAACAGTCAAATTCAAAAATTGAGTTTTAATATGCCTTTCATATTTTGAAACTCCAAAGACTGATTCATCATAAAAACACAATGATTAGTATGAACTTTGATGGTTATTTTTTCTCATTAGTTTGATGTCATATATATGTATTTAAAAAGTATCAATGATTATAATTTACCCTGATAGTTGAATTAATGAAGAAGTTTATCGTCTCGACAAAAAATATTTCTCGTATTTTTTGTTTATTTTATAGTCGTAGTGATACCAACACATTTTCTGTCTCGTTTTGTTTTATCAATTTTTACAGCTGAAGTGTCTCGTTTAGTTTGACCAAACTTCGTTTTCTCAATTTTTACAGCTGAAGTGTCTCGTTTAGTTTTATCAAATTTGACAGTTGTTGAGATATGAATACAATAAATCTTTCGAAAGAGGACCTACGTATTATACATAACATTATTTATGAGTGGTAATTGTGTTGAGTTAGAATTCGTAAATCTACCAAGCCCCATTGTTAAAGAGCTGTTGATGAGCTGACCGAATCGTTTAACCAAAATTTTCAAAACATATTTTTTATAATTATTTTGCATGTCTCCACTTGGTGTTTTCGATCCGTTAATATGCTTTTTTAAATTTTCTGTATTGAATGTCAATTTTTCAACCATATTGCAATGAAAATTTTGTGTTACACCAACCATGTTTACTAAGACACTCCATTGGATGACCAGGACAAACGTTGACATTTCCGCAAAACGTTTCCAAACAATGTGTCATCAATCGGTAAAGAGGTGGTCACCTTATTTGTCAGTTTGTTGTTTGGTTGCCGCGGCTTGTCCATAGTTCTTAGTAATACATGTCAGTTTTAACTATATATCTTACAAAACGAAGATTATCCTAGAATATCAATATTGGTAAAAGCTTGTCTGACAGATATCTGTACCTGGAAAAAGCGGAACTAATTGTCTTTTCCCCAAAGTATCAGCAAACAATGGCTCTCCAGCTCAAGGTCGGTGCCAGAAGTATTGAGACTGTCCCAGCTGTTAAAAACCTAGGGGTATGCTTTGATAGTTGATTGAACATGGAGAAACAAGTGAACGCTATTGCCAAATCCTGTTATTACCAGATCAGGAACATCGACTGTATTCGGTTGGATTATGGTAACGCCCTGCTCTGTGGTATATCTGACAAACTAACTAGTCGTCTGCAGGCGGTCCAGAACACTGCAGCACGGCTGGTTACTCGTACTCGAAAGAGAGCGCACATCACACCTGTGCTATATTCATTGCACTGGCTACCTGTACGATACAGGTCGCAGTACAAAATGTTAGTGTACAAATACAAGGCACTGAATGGAACAGCTCCCCAGTACCTACAGGAGCTTGTTATGTTGTGTGTCCCAAAATCTCGTACTGTGACCTATGGAAACCGGTTCTTTGAGAGGGTTTCGGCCACGTTGTGGAATAGCTTACCATCTGCTATTAGAAAGTCAAATACCCTTGCCAAATTCAAGAGGGACATCAAAACTCACCTCTTCACGTCTGCATTTAAGGCTCTTTGTAAATACCACCATTTATTTGTTCATTTGATGATTATCTGCTAGCTTAAATGGATACATGTGATTGTAAGTCTTTGTTTTTTACAAATTATATAGGGCGCTATATAAATGTTGTAGATTATTATCATTAAATTTTGTGTTCATATGTTGTGATTGTGGAGTCCTTATCACTGATATAACTATTTGTTTAGTATATCCTTTGTTTAGCAGCATACTCAGTCTGATGTCCTGATGTGCGAGTCCATAAGGATATGTCCTAGCAGAGGTTCGTATTTCCAACAGATCAATACATTTGCCATTTCATTGCAATACTACACTAAAGAAACAGCAATATCCAACCCACCACTATCCATGTTTTGCAGGCATAGATCGGCAGCAACGATCCTTCCTAGCCCTACAATTTATACCAAGGTATTGCATTGGCCAGACAGCATGTTTTAATATTCATATCAATCCTAAACAGTTTTATTTAAAAAACATTTTAGTGCTATATCAGACCACGAGTTACTTCTCTTTAAATGACGATATTTCCTGTTAGAAGTATCATCTTTTTTGGGACAATACCTATATAAAATGGGACCTATTTAACATTAGAGATTGATGGTTATAAGCTTTGTTATGCAGAAGACAGCATCATACTTTGAATTAGCGTTAGTCGATTCTGCATTTGCACGATTGAATTTTATAGGTGCAATCACCTTCTGGATCGACAGTAGTTGAGACCAATTTGGATTTCCACCGTTTTGGCCCCTAGCATAAAAGATGAGACCTAAGAAGACGAAACAGCTGTATGGGGCAGTGTGATTGCTTTTTGGCATAATGTATTTATCACATATGTAAGTCTTATGTTCATTTTTCAAATTAACGCCGTATTCAAATTTGCAGTTTTGAAATTAATTGATATTTAATATTACTTAAGATAGAAAGCCTTCTCTGTCATGTGAACTTCGCGGCTACTTCGTATCTCGAACATTTATATGTTGACAATACACAGTATCTATTACTTAAATACTATTAACTTTCCTTTTTACAGGTATGGACGAAAACAGCAGTATGGCAGAGTGTGTTGGAGCAATGCTGACGTAGATGAACTTGGCTGAGAACCATTTGTCCTAGGGTTGGTCGAGGAGCATTTGTCCTAGGGTTGGTGTAGGAACATTTGTCCTAGGGTTGGTGGAGGACCATTTGTCCTAGGTTTGTGGAGGACCATATGTCCTAGGGTTGGTGGAAGATCATTTGTCCTAGGGTTGGTGGAGGAGCATTTGTCTTAGGGTTGGTGGAGGACCATTTGTCCTAGGTATGGTGGAGGACCATTTGTCCTAGGTTTGGTGGAGGAACATTTGTCCTAGGGTTGGTGGAGTACCAATTTGTCCTAGGTTTGGTGGAGGAACATTTGTACTAGGTTTGGTGGAGGGACATTTGTACTAGGGTTGGTGGGGGAGCATTCGTCCTAGGGCTGGTGGAGGAGCATTCGTCCTCGGGCTGGTGGAAGATCATTTGGCCTAGGGTTGGTGGAGGATCATTTGTCCTAGGGTTGGTGGAGGAACATTTGTACTAGGGTTGGTGGAGGATCATTTGTCCTAGGGTTGGTGGAGGACCATTTGTCCTAGGGTTGGTGGAGGACCAATTTGTCCTAGGTTTGGTGGAGGACCATTTGTCCTAGGGTTGGTGGAGGATCATTTGTATTAGTATAAGCTAATGTTAACACGTAAGTAGATTATCGTGTAGTATAAACTATTTAACTACTAACCTTTGTAAATTAAGATTTCATCAGTGTAAGACATGTTTCATTCTGTATATCACCTTTAAGTTCATCAACCAGTTAACTCTGTGACTACACTGTGCTATTCAATATGCTTTGATTCCACCAGCAATAGTTATTTTTATTTTTTAAATAAGCGGACGTTAAGCACACTAACCTGGCTAAAACAGTAGTTTCTTTGTACAAGCCTGTATAGAAGTACTTTGTGCTGTTTTTGTATATAATATTTCCAGTTAAATACAATGCCAAAGGAAAGATTACCAGTTTAATATGAATGAAACTTATTTATTACGGAACCATTAAACCTTTGTGAAATAAAAGGGGTGTGAAACAGCATGAATACTGAGTTAAATTTAAAAAGAATAGTAAATTGATTTTCACCAACCCCACTAGGTGAATAGCGTGACAACGGGGCTCGGCTGTACTTTAAAATATATGATAAACTTGAGTTATCTTTCCTGAATTGAATTTTACTAACAAAGAATTAAACGGATTCCAGTATAGAATACAATATAGTAGAAACGGGATTGTGTCCTTTGTTATAAGTTAACACACTCAAATGCTTAAAACTATCTGGTAATATATGCAACTTTTTCTTGCTGTGATATAATTTATATGTTGTTGCTATATTGTTTTGTATGAAATATTTGAAAATTAAAATAAAGAAAGAAAAAATATGACGAAATTTGCTGTATTTTCAACACTGTATTAAGTAATATGCTTGATTCAATTAACATACTGCTGACTCTCTCTATACATCGCGTATGTTTAATACATCCCATAATATAACTAAACGACATACTTCAGTCACTTCGTATACAACTTTCATATACTCCGTATTCTTTGAACACCAAGGGCGACAACTGCGAAACAGGTACACCAGTCCCAGGTAAACAATGTGGAATGAACGATACGCGGTCTCATTCAGCTCCAGAGATACAGGTAAGTTGTACACTTGTAAAATCCACTCAAACATTTTTTCAGTCCAGAAAACATGTCCATTCTACACATTTTTTTTAAGGATGGATCTTCAATATGGAAGCTTTAATAATACATTGACTGAAATTTCACGATAGTTATGTGTTATACAAGATATACAGGGAATATCATGCATTATTGAAATACGTTGTTACAATGATGACTCTACGGAGTAGTGGAACTACGGATAACATATCTTATCGCATGTCCATTTTACTGTTTACTGTATGCAGTCATGCGTATAGAAACAAGGAGCTCGTTTATTTACACTTTTGGTAGTCGTCCGCCATCTTTGATACTTCCGGCGGATGTGTACGATACTAAATCTATTTGACATGCAGCTGTACGGACATGCGTATTGGAGGTCTACTTCTACTCAGTGTTATAGATAGTAAAGACATAAGCTTGGTGACATTATGTGTATGGTTTGTTTTAATAATGTTTGTATGACTGACATGGTTTATAAAATATTGATTTTCGAAGTGATTTGTTAATGACGGGGTTTATTGAGTTATTTGAGACGGTGTTTATTAATACTTCATGTTTAGTATCGTTTTACTAATTACCAATAGAAATGCACGAGAACAAAACACGAACTGACCATCACAGATATTTTATTGAATTGGTGAGTTGACTGTATAAATAACTTAACTACGTAAAACTGTATGTTATGTTGAAATTTAACAAACAAATGAGGTAAGAGAGGCAGAAAAGGTAAAGTAAGATTATCTACTTAACAGGTAAATCATGCTGGATAATGATGGTTAGACTATCGGATCTGTCCCAACGCTTAGCACGTTTACTGACGAATGATATAATAATTAATAACTAGTTACATCTTTGGATACAAAATAATGAAAACAACATGCTCCGAACGTCTGCTCCCAAATAAACTTTGACGCCGTCACGATGTATACATACAAGAGGACAACAAATCTTAGACATATTTGTCATTCAAATAAGATTCAAATGTCCAATGACGATTTCTATCTAGGCATTGGCGAGTATAAATAGTCGATATGGTTGGTTGAGGTTAATAAAGAGTATATAAAAAATGGAAAAAAAATAAAAAAAATAGGAAAGCTTATATCGTTCAGTAGCGCTTCACAGAAATAAAATAGTAGTTTAAACGAAAGCAAAATACAAAAGAGTATTTATAAAAATGCAGTTTGGTCATACATATAGTCTGGAGTTATCGGCCGTTACATATCAATACTTCCGTTGTTGTCCTGTCGTCATTTTGAATGATTCTGAACGACGCCAAGTACGTGATAACGGCTGATAAATTCAGCCTTTTTTCATGCATGTTCATCGCCGCCGTCTTGAAGGTCAAAATTTACGTTGGTCTCAGACGTTCTTAAGCCACGTGCCGCAACCTCGGTTTGGGTATACGTTTGGAGCTCGGGACAGATCCTTGGCGACATACTCCTAGCTATCTTGGTATATATCTGGTATAAGTCGGGGTTTCTACTGCATACACCTGGAACGAAAAACAGACGGCCAGTGAGTTCTAATCTCATTCTCCCAAATCATAAAACACTGGAAACTTTGTCTAATAGGATTGTTATGATGTTCCAAGCATATCTTAGGTCGAATGCCTGAAGCAAAAGTTACATGAAGCATTTGTTGAAAATCATTTGCGTGTATTTAGTTTCCATCGCTATCTATTTAAAACAGGCTCATTTATTTATTTATTTTGTTCATTATTCGAGCTAAACTAAATATTCACAAATGAAAACAAATCAAAGTTCTTCGAAAAAGACCAATTTAAATTGAAAAAGAAATCAAATCTAAATTGTTAAAAGCATCTCCAAGTTTAAAACATAAAATGTTTATCTAAGAAATGAGAAGAATATGAATATTTCATTTACAAAGATATTTCATTAACAATGCACTCTGATATTATCTGCCAAAACTATTAAGTTATTAGACAGCAAATATAGGTTCGACACTGTTTCCTTTATATGTAGATTTCCAAATATAAATAAAAGTGTATTTATATATATAAAATATGTACAAATATGTATACATATATGTACAAATAAACAGAAGTGATTTACATAAAGATATACACATATGTAACAAAGAAAGCAGTAGTTGATTTAGATATTATAAATATGCAGATTGTGTATCAAATATATCTCAACTAGAAATCCAGTATTAATATATGTATACAGGGAAACCTCGTTTAGTCTGCACTCATTAAACGTTGGGCCATGAGTTGTATAAATGTATTAGGTTCTTTACCACCTATTCTTCTCTGTATAAGAAAAAGGATATTCAATCGTTCTTCTGGGGAATATTCCGAAATGTAAATTTAAACGAGGTTCCTTTGCATATGATACACCGTAAATACTGTATACTTAAACAAAAAAATCGCCATTTTGAAAATATACCTTTCTTCGATAAAATCCGTATAAACCCACAGTTAGTGTTTCATTTTGTAATAATTTATATAAGGACATTACAACTAAATCCTTATTTTGAGGAAAGGAAACGGCGAAAATTAAACTGCGGCGAATATTTTTCGGTATACAGTACCTACCCACACTTAATAGTTTATACATTGAATACAAAACAAAATGTCAAATGTAAACAAACATGGGTGACCTTATGGGTTAGTAGGGGGAAACAAGTCAATAGTGAATGGCATTTGTATATCCATATATGGAGTATATGGCTAAATGGGTAATTTCTTTAAATTACTGAATTCATAATAGTGCTTGCTAAACATACAATGATGGAATGACGTTTTGACACACGAACTATATATATATATATATATATGCATTATTTTTGTTAAATCAAGTACACGTAAATATACAGATTCTAGTGAAAGACCCTAGGTCTACGAGAGAAAAACCTCCTTTATATTTAGGTTATAGTATTATGATGAATCAGTTTTAAATTTTCTAGAAAATCACACACAAACTATGTTATTCTGAACAATTGTAAGCATATTGATGTTAGAAACCACTATGTAGATTATAATACACACCCTGTTAAATAACTAAATATAACTCATTGGATTAAATCTGTGTAGAACGGAACATATTTGTTATTCATTTGCTAAAGTCGAGTGTATTTTACTTCAGAAAATGAATCTTATCAAACACAAGTCACATTATGTTCCAATGATCAATTTAAGTGTCAAAGCAACATGTAGGTATCCATATTTCTATAATATTTAGCGATATGGAAAAAAAATTAGGGGAATTTTTCAAGAAAAACTTCTTATACAAACTAACTAAATAAAATTAAGAACGCCCTATTGCACTTAATTGTTGTCTTGCGATAAAAGAATATTATAGTTAATGATAACTTCCAGGACCGAGACATTATTAATTGAAGAATTGGTTTTCTTTTAAGCCAGTAGAACGCTGTCCTGTGGTAGAACGTTACCAACAAAAACTAGGAACATAGCAAGGACCAATGAGAAAGCATTTTATACAATGGATAGTTAGATACATACAGATGATAGCACTAGCATATGATTTATATGAATAGCCACACGTGTACGACTCACTTCGATTCCAATGACGATTATAGAAAGTTTTGACTATAGTGAAATGAGAAATAAGTTCAGTAACGGTAACTATTTTACCTCTGATGCTAAATACACAATCACCTTTCTGTTATATTTTACAGTGAAACTGTTAATTTGGATGCCTTTAATTTCAAGAATTGCTTTGGAAAATGCTCATTCCGAAATTTCAAAAATTCAATGCGAGTACTTTAGATGAAGACAGTAGGACGATATATCTAAGATAGTTAGAGAAACGGTGTTATACACACTCCGACAGACTACTGACACGAACATGACAACACCGAGGCGTGGAGAACCATTGATTCTGAAAGGAGAGAAGGCTTATTGTCGCTTACAATTCCAAGTGCCAAAGCAATCAACTGAAAAAGGTACATGTGAAACAACGCAATTTGGGATTTTATAAAAATGGGTTCAAAATTTTAGTGAAAATAATTATGATTATGCATAACTTAAAAATACAATTCGATCTGCTGAAACTAGTTACTTAAATGAAACGTAAAATTACAGTAAAAACAGATTGTTCAAAAGGATTTTCAAAACTCGAGTGAAATAATATTTATCTTAACGCATGGAGGTGTGGGTTGAATTCACCACCGGAGTATCAAAACAATCAACTAAAAAAAGTTGGTGAATAAAAAACAAATATGGTTTTCAAAAATGTTTTCATTATACCATTATGTAAAAAAATACCACTTTTAATTGACATATATGCGTATGTAATTTTCAGCGAATAATAATGCATTTTGTATCTACATAGCTCAAAATTCAATAATTATTACCATGTTATAAATCTGAAAAATCATGGTATTGATTCGAATATTTTCCCTTCAGAATTTCTTATGCCGAGCTATTTGAGCAATTTTTTAATAACTGTGTCTATCGCATTAACTCGATTGCGATCTAAATTCTGTTTTTATTAATAAGGAATTTCTTTATCATTATGCAAAAGTTAGTCTAGCTTTAAATAAGATGAGCGCTGGAATAAAGTTAGATAATCCTAAAAAAAGACCCGTGGTATCAAACTTAACTGGCTGCTACAGACCGTATTCACGAGGTATCATAGCATAAATTTAGTGATTTTCATCTATTTTTAGCTTTGACCCAAATTTATGTATGTATCTTCTACAGATGATTAAGATATGTTTCAGTGTTGTTCAATAAATAAAAAGATATTACAACACTTAACTAGCACTACCAGCACCTACACATACCGGCTCTTGTTTCACTGCAGTATAAACCGATCGTTCATTAATAACCTATACAAATCTTATATCCATCTACAATGTAATTAGTTTCCATTACCACTCACTTATTTATGGGCACCTTACCTATTTTTATGGGCACCTAACCTATTTTTACGGGCACCTATTTCTCGTCATTTTATAAATACTCTACAAAGCTCATAAAGGCCACTAATCTATTGACACGAGAACAGTTATCTATATTTTTGGCATCGTCTATTCATAGATTCAATGCATATTTGTATCATTCCCTGTCTTTTCATAGATTCATTGCCAATTTTTATCACACCCCATCTATTTATAGGTCTTGTACCTATTTGCAACACTTTCTGTCCTTTTATAAGTCTGTTGCATATTTTTCTTCTATCCCTAATAATTGTTAGATAACAAACTTGTTTGAATAAATAACATTACTCTGTCTATTGGTTAATCCTCTACATATTTTACCATATTCACACCCTCTGCTTTTAAAAATCTAGCGCCTATACTCGACTATGTAATGGCCCTGATTCTTTTGATTTAGGCATATATAAGTACACCAGCTAATCGTTGACCAGGAGTGTTCACGTTTCGTTATTGCTGCCATCAGGCGAGTAATAGTGCTCGTCAATACTACTACTATAGGACAAGAGGGGACCACCTTTACCAGATGCCATTACTAACATGGTATTAGATGGGTTGTTTGTCGTGGGCCGGGACGAAACCTCAACCTTCTGTCTCTCCCGACGGCGTCGATTTCTTCGCGCTTCCTGTCCTGAAGAAGAAACCGGATCTGGACTTGTTGCTTCCGGACTGGCGACATCCTCAGAGTTTGTCCTCTGTAGTTGTGACGTCAGACTTTGAAGACTTCGAGATCTGGTGTTTACGCCCTTCTCCAAGGTTTCAACGTGCTCAGTTTCGGTCGACTTGGTGTCATAGTTGTTCTTAGCACTGCCATATACATCAGTTTGAATGTATTGATTCGCCAAAACCGGTTTCGGGCCCGATTGTGACTCTTCTGTTTCTTCTGTCTGCGTAGTAACAGTGCTGGTGCTGACTTTTGGCATTGGAGCAGCGCCAGAGTAGGATCTTGGTGGCTTCGAAACAATTGGCTTATCTGATTCGTGAAGCTGACCCATATCCAAATTGCCAGCAGCGAAAGATATTTCCTTCAATACGGTGTTCGGCAGATCTTTTAATTCAATTTCCGCAAGACACGATAATTTCTCCTGAACCTGTTTCTTCAAGAGAAGAAGTTCTATATCCTTTCCTTTCAATACAAGCTCTGTCAAACTGCATGTACTTTTTAGACTGTCAACATTTACCTGAAGGTCGCTTCTTTTGTTGACATAGTCCATAACCATTGGTCCGTATTCAAAATGCAGGTCATCAATAAGTTGCTTTTCTCTATTTCTTATATCAGATATGAACTGAATAGCGGTATCGCGAATCTTCTGCTCAGCGGTTTTGATGGTACTCTCACACGTTGTAAGAGCAAGAAGCTGACGATCGTACACCTCCAGTTTGCTTTTACAACAGTTTAACAGCTTTTGAATACTTTCCTTATACTTTTCTACGGCATCCGAAAATTGGGTGATTTCGTGGTCTTTGTGCTCATTGAAGGTACACAGAACACAGATACAAGCCTCACATGGTTCACAGTAGAACCGGACAACCTCTTCCTGGTGCTCCTTACACTCAATATCCTTCTCTATATCCACATCAAATATGCTGTGATTCTTCGTGACTTTCGTTTCTCGATGTAACTCCACACAATTTTTACACAACAGTTTGTTACAATCCAGACATTTCGATGAAGCCTCACGATGCTTTCGATTGACAAGTTTACAGATGTCACAGAAAGGAAATTTGGACGGTTTCTGCCTTGCTACTACCTCGCCAAGGCTCGATACCAGGAAGTTGTCCGGCAACTTCTTGACGCCCCCTAGCGGCAGTTGAGTCCGCTTCCGGCACAAAGGGCACGTAAATTCCCGATAATCGCTATATTTCTTATACGTGCATTCCGTCATAATATGATTGTCGATACATTGCTCACAGAACGTGTGCAGACAATCTAGACACTTGGGGCTCTTGAATCCTTCAAGGCAAATCTTGCACGTGAGGAATTCGTCGTTAATCTCCTGCGCAAGCTTCCCGCCAGTTGATGTAGTTTGGTTCGTCATATTGTTGAGTGTGTTGTAGTCAATGGACGTAGTGTAATATCTGTCTCGCTCAAGTCTCCGTCGATACCTGGAACATAGGAAGAACAGTCACATATGAAAAGACCTCGAATCAATGTCCATAACATAGGCTTATATATTTATCTTGCCACTCTATGTGGTTGTAACATAGTATATCAACCTATGATTTCAATTGAGGATTTGATTGTGAGAAATAAATTCTGAAACTCAAAATGCATTCATCATAAAGGATACAAATTACAGATGAACGCATACCAATTCAATCAATTATCGCTTTTGCCTCACTTATGAAGTACCACAAATGACATTAGAATAACAATTTGTATAATCTTGAATATTGATGATAATTTACACCGTTTAGTTCATGCCCGTATTTAATGTATTTTCCATGCACATACTAGCATTGTTATCATACTTAACCGTATTAAAGTATTATCCAGACACACACTCGTATTACTATACTATACAACTTGGACGACACACAGTGTTCATACTCATGTAATAAACAAACATTAGTAATAATAAAGACGTTTTATTGATAAACACACTAGAAATACTTATAAACGTCGCAAATTATATTATATTATAATTATAATTAGTAAGATATATTTCAATATAGAAACACCAAACACACAGTAGCATTTCTAGGGTACCTTAAATACGAAACACTCATTATCTTTGCTAGTAAACCTCCGAATATAAACGCTTTACTCCATACTCAGACACGCAATACCTGTAAACTGTACAGTTTATATGCCATACTCCAGAAATAAAACAAGTAGTATATCATTCACCGAGTGCTGCCATTCACGCTCCACATGCAACGCAAGCAAGTTTGCCGGTTAAAAAATTCATAGTAAAATTTGGAAAAAAAAAAAGAAAAAAAATCGAGGTCATTTATCCTGTGAAATTGTAACGTTTTGAACGCGAATATGAAAGCCTATTTTAGGCCTAAGAAAACATAGATTGAAATGTTGGTAGAAAGCTATATCGAGGTTTTACTGTACAGCAATCCTATTGCACCAGTGCACTTCCTAGTAACTTTCCCTCCTGGAATGCAATAGCCTACCTAATTATGCCGTCGTCGTATCGATTTACGCATGACAGGAAGTGAGTGATGTATACTATCTGACAAGGAAGATGCACATCTATAGAACATTTCCGCATCAGACAAAACAAATCTTTAACTTCAACTTTAAACGCTATGTTAACATATTAAATCAAACAGGTAAACCTTTTGTAAAAGAAAATATACTTCGCAAAATAGCCCAGAAGTTAACGCGTTTGATGCAAGAACTTTGCCAAATACAACATACACTGCGAAGTTTGGCAAAGGCATAGTCAGCTGGCACGGTATAACTTAGATATACTTATAATGCGTGCAAAATAAAAAAGATATTTGAGTATCTGATAATAAGAAACTAGGCAACTACTCGTTCCATGTGTATACATGGTTTTGTTTGGGGGTTTGTGAATGATGATATTGCTCGTACGTTTTATGGGAACAGTATAGTAGTCTAACGATGCTTTAGTAGAGCCTGCAGGATCCAACAGTAGCGTCTGACTGTATGACATCCTCACCTTCTCCTTAAATCTAGTTTATGTGGGGGGTTTTAAATGTCGCGTGGAGTTACACCTGTCCAGCAGGTTATGCCAATACTCCTAACTACTCCTTTGTACTAATTGTAAAAGATAAACAATGAGTTTATGGAAAGGTACGGGTTACCTTACACTTTACACCTGTGATTTATATAACAGTTATCTCCTCTCAGATTTTCAAATTATTATCTTTAGTATCAACTTAGTCAGTGTTATGAATATATTTAGATTCGTCCTTGATGGGGATTTTGAAGTACAGATTACCAATGAAAAAGATACTGTGAAATCAGATATTTTTATGGTGCCGAAATGATGTGGTTTCCCGGCAAAATACCATTTCGTGGGTACATGAATTCGTGGATTACGAGTACCCACTCAAAATGAGTTGCTTTATATCAAATTTGCATTAACCTAGTTGACCTATGACTTCGTGGATGAAGATAACCCACGAATTCAACGCAACTAAAAAACACACGAAAATTAGCTATTTCATGGTATATTACACATTTTGTTGTATTGCATCGTAATATAATATCAATGCACTGTGCATTCCAATTTGTTTCTACTAGTTTATCTCCCTTTGGTTTGAAACACTCTAAAATCAGGTATCCAAATGATCGAAATTATTAGAGCTTATTTTGTCAGAATAATTCAATATTCTAAAGACGGTGGCAAATCTATCATAACCACTGCCCTGTTTGTCACTGTTAAGGTCTCTTCTGACACATTCTGTCCTTCACTGACTGTTTCCCATTATTCATGGTGCTGAGATAACAGAAAACAGTCACTTGTTGTAATATTTGTTACCAAAGTGTATATAAGTTGGCAGGATATACGAAGCACGGAAATAAACCATTCGTCATACGTTAAGCCTGCTAATACGGTCAGAACCTTTCACATGCTTGTGGCTTTTGGATCAAACTGGATGGTTAATCCGAGCCCAAAACATATGTCTAAGGGTTGCTAGGGATATCATATGGTTGTCGAGCAAAGACCTACGGATAAGTAACAGTGGGAGGTTATCACAGAATGGTGCGTCAGAGGCATTGAAATATGAGAAGAAGAGTAGACCGAAGTATACGTATATCTATGTGTATCTATAAGACCGGAATGGGGGAGTCAGCTGTTCGGAAGCCCTGGGCGGCTCTGTCCTTGTGCCAATGGTGTATTGAGATGATGGGATTTTAAGCCGCTTGATGAAGCGTATCTATCTGGGTAACCAATGGCCAATCACTAATGAGAAAATTCTAAACCAAGTCTCCAAACCAGCTCTTAGAAACTAGGCAGATTTAAAGAGTGTTTATAATGTATCACACGTACGTTGCTTTAAGTCTAAACGTTTCAGAGATCATACTTTCTAAATGTCTTATCGGCGTTCGAGAAGTTGCTATGACCATGAAACAGTTAGTGGTAATAAGCTAACTCATTGGATATCCATACAGTCTATTTAGTTTGGTCTATCCTTTAAAAAATACATTACCATACAAGCTACGGTCCGACATGAGGCCCTTGTTAGTCGCCTTGTACAGCAATACAGCGGAATACAGCAGGCAGGTCGATTAGCGTATCAATATGCACCGAAACTAACAAACCACAAATATCCTAACCAATTAAGTGGGTATTTTCAAATGATATATCATGTGACGTATATTTAGATGACACTTTTCAAACAGTTCGTTGTTATGTCTCCCGTGTTGTTTAGCTTTCAAAGGTTAAGGTCGGGTACTTTTAAACTATTCCACCTTACAACATACGGATGCGATTATGGACTGGGCTAAACGGAATTAATGTTTAATTCGACATATCTAAACAGTATGCGAGAGAGATATATAGATAGCACATGCAAACACTTGTGCGTAGTAATAAGTTAACTAGTCCATTGTGATCCGACGCGTAGTGATATGTGAACTACGTCACGCAGTATCACCATTGGGTCCTGATATCACTGGCATGTAAATAATTGTTAATTATCTCTTATATTTATCGAACATAAACATAGACAGAGCACCATGTTAAACAAACGAAATCTCTAGAATACACATACGTGATACCTATATATAGATTCAAGGATATACCAAGTCCACACAAACCTGTATTTTATTAAGAAATACATAAAATATGAAATAAAACGACTGGATAAACCGGAGTTACAATAAATACCACTGTAAAGCAGACCTGTGGACTGGAATAGAAACGGGACAAACACAATTAGTAAAGTAGTTAATATAACGATCTACGGATTACAACGGGGAAGGCTTTGAGAGTGATTAATAGCAATATAACATTTAGAGTTGGTAGATACGGTCCTGTAGACAGAAGAAACTAAAGGTTTTGTCAAGTTTTACCGATAAAAGCAACATACGAGATTTAAGTATGATAGCGCGTCTGGGAACCGGAACAGCTTTCGTATCAAAGGGAAGATATTTGAAAGCTTAAACTTATTTACCAGGAACATCACAAACTGGGTATATCACTTGCTTCAAGATTAGAGATACGTTCAAGAAGCTGATATCAAATATGTTCATGTCTGCCTGGTCGACTTCCCGCAGATTAAGTTATATTTGAGTGTTATAGCAAATATTATTTCCAAGATTTGGTTATACATACATCAACTTTGGCAATTAAACGTACAACGGTATCTGTCTATAAGACAATATCCATAATAAATACAGCATGTTGCACATTTATTTAAGTCGCAAAACACATTTTTCAGGTGAAGATTTATATTACAACAGCCTTTTACATCTTAACACTATCCACTAAAATATTTCATTATTAGTACATAAAGATAGCTCCTACCACCACTCAACAAACTAATTTAACATGATAAAGTCTGGAATTTGTTTCAGGACCTCCTCCGCTCAAAATCATAGCACGTTTTTTAAATATATTTAGTCATAATATGATTCGGTGTATGCCTCTTTAATTATTTATTAAATATGGCGTGTGCCCCTTTAATCCCCCAGCACGTGTCGGATGAACGACCACTCCCCTGGAATAATGGTTCCAGTCTTGCCTCCCCTACCGTGCGCCCCGTACGTAATATACTAAAGCATGTGTTTCTGATGGTTTTAATCATCGCCTGGATCAGAAATAGCCTTGTGTTGCTGTAGAGGTAGAGAGGCACTGTGACGTTATACACAGTATGTGTTTATAAATACCCACAGAATGTCAAACTCCCCAAGTCCAGTAAGATTATATGAAGTAGTGAGATATCACACTAATCAGTTATATAAATAAGACTTTGTTCCTTAGATTTGTTTAAAATAGTTCTTGTTTAAAAGGTAAAAAAATGCGATAAGGTAATATATAATGCTAAGCAAATGCATGATAAACGAATGTGTAGTTCTAATTCAAAATATGGATTTACAATAAAGACAAGAACATTGGAATCTAATAATAGTTATATATCTATAAAAAAAAACATGTTCAATACAATATACATAAAAT